TTTACAGAGATGATGTTAACCTTATATTGCTGAATTACCAAACATAATTTTTAATATCAAAATGTCAAAAAATTGACAAATTCACTATTTACCAAATAAGGCCATAGTGATTTTTACTTGTCAGACAAAATTATGACTCAATTTAAAGATGAATTTTATCAAATAAAATGAATATTATTGTGGTTGAGATATGTTCATGATATTAGAATAATTAATTATAACATTATTGAGCAGAGAGAAGCAATTATATATATATATATATATATATATATATATATATATATATATATATATATATATTCTAATTACATTCATGTAGCAATTCGTCCTATTGTAACATTAACCTTTCTGCGCTCGGCAGAGCATTAAATTAAACCTCAGTCCAAGCATCATAGAAGCAAGCAGCTAACATCAATTTAAAAAAAAAAAAAAAAAAAAAAAAAAAAAAAAAAAAAAAAATCTCAAAAATTCCCAGAAGAAGAAGTAGACTGATGAGCATCATCGACGTCATGTTCCTCGCTGCAATCCTCTTCAAATATGGTTTCCAGCGAAGGAGAATTGGATATCTTCTTCCGCGATACGAGAATCGCGGGAACAACCTCGACCCAGGACGATGAAGATGAAGAACCCACCAACAACGCCATCTGCTTTGCCATTTCCCAGCCAGCAATATTTTTAATTTCTTCGACTTTGCTGAACCGGCCGGTGTTGATCAGATCAGTATAGAGTGAAGAAATGAAATTTGGTTGAGAGATGGAGATGTATTTCTGCAAGTTGATTGTTTTACACACGCTTGCATACACATATATATACACGCAGAGAGGCGGAAGAAGGAACAGTGTTGCGGGAAAGACGGTGGAAAGAGCACTGAAACCTGAGAAACGTGTGGAAATACATGTAGCCGCCCCAAACTCTTTTTTTTTTTTTTTTTTTTTTTATATATATATAACCCAATTTTTGGATTTCCTTACAATATTTTGGACTTTATAAACCTGCCACCAAACTTATAATCGGTTAAATTAAGTCAACCTAATTTCTAGTTAGTCGTAGAAATTAAACTTCATCTACTTGCGTGAAGTAAGTTTTAAATGAGATTTCTCATCAACTATATCAGTTATAGAAAAATTTATAATCAAACTTTTTTAGGGTATACATTAAGTAGTTGAGTTAATTTCATTTTTTTCTTAAATTTATAGGTGACAGTTCACTTTTAGTCCCTTTTTATCAAAACATTTCATTTTGGTCCAAGTATTATTGTGACATGACTAATTTTGATTCTTTATCAATAAATCGTTGAAATTCGATAAATAGAATGACATTTTGATCTTTTTAATATAAAATGCGTTGACTCATTATATATTTTATGTTTTTTTTTTTAATTCATAATTGAAGAGTGAAATGCTCTTGTATTTAACGCAATTTCAATAATTTTTTTTATAAAAGACCAAAATTAATTATGTCATAATACTAGAACTAAAAAAGAATGTTCTGATAAAAAAAAATTAAAAATGAATTGCCACTTATAAATTTAGGATCAAAAATAGAATTAACTCTTAAATAATCTATACACTTATGTAATAGTTTTAAAATTATATTAGAGAAATAAATTGGGCATTAAAAAATTCCAACCGACAGGATGTTATTGTTCCAATGCTACCTATGTAGTATTTAAGCGTGACAAATGTCATTTGCAATGTCACAATTTTATTGATTTACAATAAAAAACAAAAGCCAAATAAGTGCACATGTGGAATTTGTTTTGTCACGAACAACAAGTCCAATAAAGAAAGAGTTAATACTTCCCATGGTCCTTCGTGTATTAGCCATATATCAGTTGTGGTCATCTGACTTTTAAACGACCACGAAACGTCATTCAAATTTTAAAAAATAAGCACTCGTGGTCCTCGCGTTATGTTTGTTGTCAAATGGCCGTTAAGTGTGAGGGCAAACTTGTCATTTTTCTTATATCTCTTCCGTCACCTTCCTCTTCCTTCCTAGATCCATAGAGCCATATTCTCGGGCTTCTTTCAAGCTAATTCCTCTTATTGTTCTTCAATTCAATTCCCTCTGAACTATTCAAAAATTGTGTTTTTTCGTGATAATAAAACATGAGAAGTATTGGGCGTTGTTACATTGAACATGCCATCAAAGTAGCAGATTCATACTATTCAAAGTCCATAAGATCTTTCACCTGATGATTTGGTTCCTTTGATCCAGACCGCTGTTTCTTCCTGGTACGAGGTAAAACTCTCAACAAAGAAGAAATTCTTGATTAAGATCACATGGGGGCTATTACGCCCCTTAGAATTCACAGAAGAAAAATAGAAGCAATATAGGTAAAGAAGAAGAAGAATTTGAGGTTAAGGAAAGAAGTGTAAATTAGGGTTTTGATTCCCAAATATCCAAAAGCATAAAAAACCAAAAAACATCCATCTCCCTAATTTATTTACAAATTCGGAGGTTTCTCATAACAACTTCCACGAATCTCGCTTCTGCAAATCCAGCTGCACTCTCCAACGACGTCGTCTGGTGGCCTCTTGCAACCGTTTTTAACGGCTACTTGCAACGACACCGTTTTGCCCGATAATTCCAACGGCTCCAACGACTAATATCAAAACGTCGCCGTTTGAGTAAGTGACCGTTTCTCTTGGTGTCAAGCGACGTCGTTCAAGTCCTTCGACTTATCCCTCAGACTCAACTCATGCATTTGCCTTCTCTTATATTGCTTAATACTTCTGCTAGCCTCCTTCTCTCCATCTCCGGTGTTCAAGGCCATAACATTGCCCTCCCCTTCACCAGATCCTTGACCCCAAGGATCATAATTTGGGAATTGCTTGGTGATATGGTGATAGCTCTCCCAAATGCTTCCTTGGGCAAATTGGCCCATTGTACTAGAATTTCCACCTCAGCTGCATTATTCTTCTTCACTAATCTTTTTCCCAAAGTAGCTATGGGTTGGGTTAGGATCATACCTTCAGCATCGGTCACTGGTAAATCCTTCTGTGGCTCCACTCCATCCCCTATCCTCTTCTTGAGTAAGGATACATGGAATACTGGGTGGATGGCAGCCTCACTTGGCAGGTTTATCTTATAAGCTACCTCACCAACCCTCTCAATTACCTCAAAGGGCCCATAAAACCTGGCTGTTAATTTGAGGTTGGACCTCACAGCTATAGAAGCTTGCTTATAAGGTTGTATTTTTAAGTAAACCCAATCTCCCACTTGGAAAACCCTCTCAGTCCTATGTTTATCAGCTTGTTCCTTCATCCTGGCCTGAGCTTTGGTGAGGTTTTCTCTAAGGATATCCACCATGATAGCCCTCTCCTTGAACCAGTCTTGTTCATCAATCTCTGTGAGCATCTTAAAGGTCAGATAAGGAGGAATGTACCCATAGAGGGCCTGAAATAGAGAGCATTGTAGAGATGTATTGAAATTGGTATTGTACCAATACTCAGCAAGATGTAACCACTTGATCCAACCCTTGGGCCTATGAAAAACCATACACCTTAAGTAAGTTTCAACACACCTATTCACCCTTTCAGTTTGTCCATCAGATTGAGGGTGATAGGAAGAAGACATGCTCAACTAAACCTGCATCTGTTTAAATATTCCTTTCCAGAACCTACTGATAAATATCTTATCTCTATCACTGACAATGTCTTGGGGCATTCCATGTAGTTTGTAAATGTTTTCCATGAACAAGTCAACCACTTTTTCAGCTGTAAAAGGGTGTGATAAGGCCAGGAAATGTGCATACTTGGTGAATCTATCTACCACCACCATAATGACACCATTTCCCTGAGATTTAGGCAGACCCTCAATGAAATCCATTGAAATTCCTTGCCAAGCTTGTTCTGGAATGGCCAAGGGCTGCAGTAGCCCAAGGTAGGCTACATTTTCCTCTTTACACCTTTGACACACATCACAGCATCTAACAGCCTTAATCACTTATCTTTTCATCCCTTTCCAGTAAAATATTTGCTTAAGCCTGTGGTAGGTTACCTGCTGCCCAGAATGGCCACCTAAGGGGGAATTGTGCATTTGGTCCCCAATTTGGATCTCAGGTGACCTGTGCTTCCCACATACAGCTTCCCCTTGTGCTTGATTAACCCTTCACTGATAACAAATGGGGCTTCTAGTTCTGCTGCAATCAATTGTTCAGTTAGGACCTTAGTGGCCAATTCATCACCTTCATAGCTTTTTAGGACCTCTTCCATCCATAAAGGATTGGCAGTTGAGATAGCCCTTAGCTCATCTTACCTCTCATTTTCCTTCCTGGACAAGGCATCTGCCACCCAATTCTCTTTACCTTTCTTGTACTGGATTTCATAACTGAGGCCTAACAATTTGGTGAGTCCCTTTTGTTGCATGGTTGTGGTGATCTTTTGTTCCAATAGAAACTTGAGACTCTGGTGATCAGTCTTGATGATGAAATGTCCTCCACATAAATAAGACCTCCACTTGTCTACAGCATTAATTATTGATAGATACTCCTTCTCATATATAGACAATCCCAAATGTTTAGGGCCAAACCCCTTGCTGAAATAGGCTATAGGTTTTTCTTCTTGCATAAGAACTGCCCCCATTCCCTTGTGACAGGCATCTGCTTCTACTACAAAGGTTTTTTTGAAATCAGGTAAGCTCAACACTGAGGCTGAGCACAAAGCTTCCTTCAACTGCTCAAAAGCTAGTTCTGAGTCCCCACTCCACTGAAAGGCATTTTTCTTTAACATATTTGTAAGTGGCCTACTTATGACACCATAGGATTTGATGAATCTTCTATAGTATCCTGTGAGCCCTAGGAATCCTCTTAGCTCCTTAATGTTACCTGGTTTTGGCCATTCTTTAACTGCAGACAACTTGCTAGGGTCAGTGTGCAAGCCTTTTTCAGAGATGATATGCCCCAAATATTCCACTTCCCTTCTTGCAAAGGAGCATTTGCTTAGCTTAGCCAACATTTGATTGTCCCTCATGATAATCAACACCTCCCTCAAGTGTTCCTAGTGGTTTTCCATGGAAGGACTATACACAAGTATGTCATCAAAGAATACCAGAACAGTTTTCCAGATCAGTGGTTGAAAAACATGATTCATAAGAGCTTGAAAAGTTGTTGGGGCATTTGTCAACCCAAATGGCATAACCTTGAATTCATACAACCCTTGATGGGTTCTAAAGGTTGTCTTGTACTCTTCCCCAAGCTTCATTCTTACCTGGTGATACCCAGCTCTCAGGTCTAATTTAGTGAAAACCTTGGCATGGGCCAACTCAGAAAATAAGTCTTCTATGAGGGGTATAGGGAATTTATTCTTGATAGTGATGTCATTTAAAGCTCTATAGTCCACACAAAACCTCCATGAATTTTCTTTTTTTGGAACCAGCAGTACAGGTGAGGCAAAAGGGGAGGTACTGGGTGAAATCAATCCAGCTGTAAGCATTTCATCTACCATCTTCTCCATAGTGTTCTTCTGTAAATAGGAATATCTGTAAGGTTTGGCGTTAATAGGTTTGGCTCTTGGGATTAAAGGTATCTCATGGTCAAAGGGTCTTGGAGGTGGCAGTGTCTTTGGTTCCTCAAACAAGTCTTGGAACTCCAGCAATAAGCTGTTCAACTCAAGCAAGTTAGGTTCTGCCAATCCAGAAGAGCTGATCTCTAGCAATGAACCTTGCAGAAGATATCCTTGCACCCCTCCCTTCTTCCATCTTCTAACCTCTTTCTTAGAAGCCTGTTGTAAAACAATACTCCTGGTTAGGCCTTTTAACCACACTTTCTTTCCCTCCTTACATAATGAAATGCCTGGGGTTCTAGTGTGTAGTTGGATTGGAGCATAGGTGTTAATCCAATCCATTCCCAGTACTATATCACATCCTCCCAACTTTAGGACTCTTAGGTCCTTCTTGAAACTCTCTTTCTGCACCTGCCAGCCAAGCCCCTTGCAGACTGAGTCACATATCAACTTCTCACCATTGGCCACTGTAACATTTAAAGTCTCAGTCTTAGTAGGGACAATCCCTATTTTCTCCAATACTCTAGGGTCCACAAAACAGTGGGTACTACCACTATCAACCAAGATAATCACTGTTTATCTCCCAATCAAGCCAAACAACTTAAGGGTGTTAATCCCCTCCCCTCCAATTACTGCATTCAATGTTACTTCCACCACTTCCTCTTCAGGTGTCAATAAGGTTTCCTTTTCCACCTCAGTAACCTCATTGAAATCCTTCACTGTTTCCTGTACTCCAGTACCTTCTATGATGTTAAATGTGGGGCTCTTGCATCTATGTCCAGGGGCCCAGGCTTCAAAACACCTGAAGCACCTATTTTGCTGCCTCAGCTGGTCTCTAAACCTACTGATCTCTGGTGATTGGGTATTAGGTTGGGGAGTATATGAGGCTGTGGTTTTGAGGGAGTTTTGGCTATTTTGGGATCTGGATGGCTCAGAGTTCTTTTGATTGAGGGTTCTGGGATTAGTTTGGGTTCTTTGGGTTGAGTAAGAAGGTTTTTTGGTGAAATGGAAAGGATTTTTCTGTGGCTCACTCACCTTCAAGCCTTTCTCAAACTGCCTAGCCACCCAAATGGCATCCTCCAGGCTAGTGGACTTGGTTGTCCTAACAAAGCATCTCAACTGTTGTTTCAATCTCACCACAAAACAATGTAAGAAATATTGGTCAGTTAAGTAGGGGTAATTTTGTAGAAGCAAGCCCTTATACTCTTCATATTTGTCAGCAAAGTTTATTATACTACCCCATTGTTTAAAGTTGGAGAACTCCTCCATAACATCCACATTATGCTCACTAAACCTTTTGCAGACTGCCCTGGCAAACTCTACCCACTGAAATCCAACTCTCAATCCATTCAAATACCCTTCAAACCATACCCCAACCTTGCCAGATAGATTAATACACAGAATGTTCAGTACCTCATCCCTGGGTATTCTGGCTAACATCAAGAACCTTTCACACCGTATTACCCACAACCTAGGGTTTTCATAATCAAACATAGGAAACTCTTGCTTATACCTTAGTAGAGGATCACCTCCTGGCCTTGCCTCAAAATGGACTCTCCTTGGCATTCCAGGCCTGCCAGCTCTCTTGGGGTCTACATTCTGAGCAAACTGGTTCTCCCCATGGCCTTCTTCATCCTCTGAGATCTCCTGTAGCTCAGCTGGATCCTCCATAGCAGGCTCCTTTCCCTGTCTCCGTCCAGGGTCAACACTACTCTCTCCTAGGCTGTTCTGATGAGATGGAACCTGCCCATGGACTGAGGGGGTACCCCCTGAAGGTGGAGGTGGCCTGTTGAGTCTCAAGAGTTCCATGATTTCAGCTTTCCAGCTCTGGATATCAGATCTCAGCTGTTGTGCATTATCCTCCACAGACTGACGAACCTCTGTTAGGCCACTGCCCTGCTCCATGACCAAGGCCTCGAGTTTGCTCATCCGTTCTTCCATGGCTGCTGACGTTGTAGTTACCATGGTGGGCTCTGATACCAACTATTACGCCCCTTAGAATTCACAGAAGAAAAATAGAAGCAATATAGGTAAAGAAGAAGAAGAATTTGAAGTTAAGGAAAGAAGTGTAAATTAGGGTTTTGATTCCCAAATATCCAAAAGCATAAAAAACCAAAAAATATCCATCTCCCTAATTTAAATTAGGGTGTTGATTCCCAAATATCCAAAAGCATAAAAAACCAAAAAACATCCATCTCCCTAATTTATTTACAAATTCGGAGGTTTCTCATAACAACTTCCACGAATCTCACTTCTGCAAATCCAGCTGCACTCTCCAACGACGTCGTCTGGTGGCCTCTTGCAACCGTTTTCAACGGCTACTTGCAACGACACCATTTCGCCCGATAATTCCAACGCTCCAACGACTAATATCAAAACGTCTCCGTTTGAGTAAGTGACCGTTTCTCTTGGTGTCAAGCGACGTAGTTCAAGTCCTTCGACTTATCCCTCAGACTCAACTCATGCATTTGCCTTCTCTTATGTTGCTTAATACTTCTGCTAGCCTCCTTCTCTCCATCTCTGGTGTTCAAGGCCATAACAAGGGCATGGGGCAGTCTGAGAAGCCGAGGGTTTTCAATTATTATTTCCGATTGGCCATGTTCGTCTTTGTCTTTCAAGAATTTCGGGAAGATAGAGAAAATCAAAGGGTCAAAAGCCATAGAATCCTGCAGCTCGAGAAGTGAAGTTTTTTGGGATCTGTCGAATGCTACGTATGATGCTAGGCCTGAACCAGTCAAAGGGTTTTACATTGTGGTACTGATCAACTCAGAAAATCAGAAATAGCCATGTTCCACGGAGACAAGGACGAGGAATCAAACGCCAAAAGGTGCTTCAATTCTGATGCGAAGGTGGCGAAACAATCGTTGATTTCACGGCGCGAGTATTTCTCTGCAAGGAGGTGTGTTTTCTCCACCAGGGCACGGTTTAGCGAGGGAAGGACGAGCCATGATATTGCGATCATGTGCATGAGAGAAGGGAAGGGATCGAAGAATTGGGCACTGTGGGTGGGGGTTGATAAGAGGGATGTGATTCAAGTGAAGTGGTTGCAGTGGAACTTCTGAGGAAACCAGACAATTTTCTTGCACGGATTGTTGGTGGAAATGATGTGGGATGTTTATGGGCGGTTGTTCGATGAGACATCAGACGGCGACGGTGCGGTGTTCATGTTTAGGACTAGAAGGGGACTGGAGAGCATGTTGTGGTTAGAGGAGAAGAATTTGGAGCAGAAAGAAGAGGAAATTGTTCGGTTTTCTTTGCTGATTGCAGCTCGTAAGTATCCTGACTAGGTGAAATCGAGGAGAAATGACAAGTTTTCCTTCCAACTTAACGCCTATTTGACAGAATATATAGCGGAGGACTAGGGCTGGTAACTTTTTAAAACTTGGAGGACGTCTCGTGGTCGTTTAGAAGTCGGATGACCACAACTGGTATATGGCTAATACTCAGAAGACAATTGGTGGTATTAAATTAATAACGAAATAAAACCAAAGACAAAACACAATAATTGACAATTAAATAATATTTACTCTTTGTTCATGCTCAAATTGAGATCTTAAGTTGAAAAAGACAAAAAATATTCTTAAACATTTAAGATTTCGATATGCCTTAAACGAAGAGGCGATCGACGTGATGAAGTTTGAAACTAAAATAATAATAATAGATAAAAATTGATACTAAAATAGTAGTCGTGGATGAAAATTGGTAAGAATTAAACATGTAAACACAAACTGTCATTTTAGTAATACTCATGAGACCAAAATTGGTATTTGCTCAACTCCATTCGAACACGTGAAGACTCCATTAAAAAAAATTAGAGGAAAACACAATTATATATATATATATATATATATATATATATATATATATATATATATATATTACAGAGAAGGGAGATACCCACATATACAAACTACTACGCCTCCAATTTTATATTTATCCATTAATTAAGCACCCAAATTAATTTCTTCGTATTCAAAATACTATATTCCCTTAAATGGGTAGCCAAGTGGGTGGGGCATGATTCTCATGTCTAAGGTTACGGGTTGATTCTTACTAACACCCTATTGGTCGAGCAAATCGTGCTAGGTCTTTGTAATGTGGTTTGAGGGCTAAAAAATCAGCGGTACAAAAGCTAGGAAAATCCAAGTCATCGATCTCCGAGGATAAAATACTCAAGCTATAAAATAATTTGATATTCGTGTTCGCAAGTCCATTGCGCACGAAAAATATCTTTTATGATATACAATTCAAACTCACTTAAAAAGGGATTTGTATTTATACTAATGCAAATCCACTTCCCTTTTCAATGTAGGATAAAGGGGTTTCTTCCAAGTAGGAATGTCAATTATACCCGTACCCGATAAGGAACCGAACTCCCGGCCCCTACTGGGACAGGGATAGATGAAGATATAAATAGGGGATCGGGGATCGGGGATCGGGGATCGGGGATCGGGGGAATTTTGAATTCCCCGCCAAGAACGAAGATGGGAATGAAGAGTACTCTCCCCACTCCGTCGCCGAATATATATATATATATATATATATATATATATATATATATATATATATATATATATATATATATATATATATGTATGGAGGAGATCAGGTGCGAAGAATCTCTAAGGTGAAACATAGGGTGAGATCTGAGCTGTTGATCAAATCTAGATCAACGGCTCAAATCAATGAAAATTTTAAAAAAATAAAAATGTGCTTCCTGATTCTACTCATACCATTGTTGAACATATGCACCTTAAATGTTGAATTGGCGCACCTTAAGTGTTTAAATGACGCACCTTAAGTTTTAAAATGACGCACTTTCAATGTTAAAAATGATGCACCTTAAGTGCTAAAATGACGCAACTTAAGTGTTAAAATGGCGCACCTTAAGTATAAAAATGGCACACCTGAAGTGTTAAAATGCCGCACCTTTATTGTTAAAAATGACGCACCTTAAGTTTTAAAATGACACACCTTAAAGTGTTAAAATGACGTACCTTAAGTGTAGAATTGGTGCACCTTAAGTTTAAAATAGCACAACTTAAGTGTTAAAATAACGCATCTTAATCTTTGAAAATACGCACCTTAAGTGTTAAAATGGCGCACCTTAAGTGTTAAAATGACGCACCTTAAGCGTTAAAATGACGCACCTTAAGCTTTCAACAATGCGCAAAATTAACATAATGCCTCCACATTTTAATTTATTTTATTTTATTTATGTTCATTCTAGACGGTTGATCTTGGCAAGATCAATGGCTATGATTAATCTGCATATTTTACTTGGAGACCTCTTCCGCATTTGACATATATATATATATATATATATATATATATATATATATATATATATATATATATATATATATATATATATATATATATATATATATATATATATATATAGGAGTGATCACATGTGGTCATGTTGTTAGGTGTGGTCATATGGTCAATTATAGGTCATTAGATTAGATAGATCCAATGAATCATATTAATCAAGATTTTTTCAGTATTTTCGCGCACATTCTCCTACCCAACGAACTGCAAGGGTAAACTCGTCATAAAACACCGGAATAGAGGAAATCACATTGTTGTGTATTTTATTACACTATTGGTGCATGTTGTCAACACTGTTGGTGTATTCTGAAAGTTGACCGCTATAAATGGCCATTGTAATTACCATAACAGGGGAATATACCATTGGTGTGTTTCACTGTGGTGTGTTTTATTACACTATTGGTGTATGTTGTCAACATTGTTGGTGTATTCTGAAACCCGCCCGCTATAAATGGCCACTGTAATTACCATAACACCCCCACTTACCAAAACGCGCGAAAATTCTCAGAATTATCACTACCGTTAGATTAAACTAATTCAACGATACAGATACGACCACACCTAATGACATGACCACATATGAGCGCTTTTCTATATATATATATATATATATATATATATATATATATATATATATATATATATATATATATATATATATATATATATATATATATATATATATATATATATATATATATATATATATATATATATGCGTTACGTTATTTATTTAAATGTTTTTTAATATTTTTATAACTTATAAACGAGGTGGGGATTCCCCATCTCTGGGTAATCTCCGTGAGGATGCGGATGTGGGGATTTTTCCCTTCCCGCAGAGATGGGGAATCGGGAATAAAGTCGGGGGCGGGTAAGGGGAGTATTTCCCCAGCCCCCGCCCCCGCCCCGCTCCATCTCATTGACATCTCTACTTCCAAGCATTCCCATAACTATTTTCCCAACTCAAATGCACTATGTATGTTTTTGAAAATGAATTTCTCATTCACCTATTATCCGTTGAACGTATAATATATTAGTTTTTCATCTCACGTAGGAGAACATGAATTCACTTTGACCCAATCCAAATCAGAAGTAGACCCATTGATATTTGTACTATAAAATAGCCACTTACAATGTTATTTTTTGCTAAATTTTCAACAGTACATTTACTCAGTACAAATCCTCAGATAGTGGTTGTAGGTTTCCCTCGCCACCCCAAATAAAAACTATAAATTTTCAGTAATATTTGAATTTCAAACCTTGCTCGTCATTGGATCAAAACACCGTTGGTCAGAGCAACCTCAATTAATAATGAAAAGAGTTAATAACCAAAATGGTCCCTCGACTATGCAGTAATTACCAATTTGGTCCTCGACTATCATTTTTACCCAATTAAGTACTCAACTACGTAATTGTTACCCAATTTAGTCCTATGTCAATTTGACTGTTTGTTGACTGTAAATAGTAGGGATAAAATTGTAATTGTACAGATTTTTCCTTCTTTTCCATTCAACGCCGATCGGCTTCCAAGTTCCGAGTTCCGAGTTCCGATCGTCACAGCACTTTGAGACCACATAGCAGAAGTATTCAAACTCTCTACATTCCTC